ACTTTGGCCATTAGGGATAGTTAAAAAAAAAAAGGTGTTAACCAAAAGTCAGAAGTATGTTTACTAGATATTTTTAAGCCTCTCTTGTGAGGCTTGTGTTTCTCAAAACAAATTTACATAGCAATAGAAAATCATATTCCTGAACTGAAGTGGCAGTCCCGATCATGTATACTAAAACTGAGTTTCATCCGTAGTGCAATTGACACCACAATACTAACATTTTTTCCTGTTACATATATTCACTTATTCAGCAAATAAGGTCTTCAGACAACAAATTATCCTTTATAGAAATAATGTGGGTCAAAATAAATTGCAGTCTGCTTCCCTAATCCCACTTTATTTAACATAAATTATACAATGCCTGCAAGAATGTTCAAAAGTCATTGAACCTGTTTTATAAAAATAAGGATAAAATTTCAAAATTTAAGAGAGAACACCAATCAATGTAGTGCTATTTGGAATAAGTACTAGAATTTAGACTAACCCTCAGTCTGATAGCCATGATACATATTGAAATAGATAAGAAATTTTGCATGAATTTGATCACTCACATAGGCAGTTATAGTTTGAAAACAATATTCCTTGCAAGGATTACGAATAAAATAATGTTTTAGGACACAATTGAATTTGAAATAGGTAATGTTTTGAATAGATTTTTGAGTTTTATTGAAATCTTACATGAACAAGAAATTGGAAATACAATCACATCAAAGAACAAATTGTCACGGCTTTGACGTTTAAGCCAAACAAATTTTGTAGGGCAGATTTCAAAAAGGTGTGAAGTAATAACAATTTAAAAACACAGTTAACCTACTTCTAGGAATGCAAAACATACAATCATAGGTTATTTTCAATACAAGAAAACTTAAATTTTTGTCTGCTTTAATTTCTTAAAACTACTAAGACAAAGTACTAGCTTGTATTTTTATTTACAGCATACTCCATACTCCTATGTAATCTATCTCAAATGCAAAAAAAAAGGAAACTGTCCAAAACCAAAGGTTCTGCAAAATCATGATTTAACAGTGTGCTCAGCTTGTTTTGAAGCTAAAAATAAAGCCTGAAACAATAAAAGCATTGTAATCCCCGGAATAAGGGAACTCTGCAAGCCCAATAATGTCCAAGAGCATTTATGAAAAGAGGAAAAAATAAAAAGACTTGAGTATATACACAATAATGATTTCTTCAGCCCAATACAAATGGCAGCAAATTGCTACTTAAAGATGAAACAGGTAAGCCAATTTTTGTTTTTTGAAGAATGTAGTAGATCTAGAGCCAATCGTGTCTTGCCAATATCATTTTCAAGCCCTCACTTGTCTATTTCCACTGTTGCCCATAGGTATCCTGATAAAATTCCTGGTTGTCATTATTGTAACCATAGTTACCAGAATAGTCACCACCTTGTTGAAGCGGCTGCTGAGCGATGGGCTGGGAACCCCAGTTCTGTTGGTTGTTGGTCTGACGGCGCTTGGAATCAGGTTGGTTGTACCCATCTGCCTTTCTCTTGCCACCTACATTGCCCCCACGATTGCCCCGAGAGCCACGGGAACCACGGCCTCTCTGCTGTTGTGCAGGACCCCCTCTGCCACCCCTAGAGCCTCTTGGTGGTCCCAAAGGTGCCCCCCTCTGTGAATAGCCAGCTCTACCTCTTGGAGGTGGTGCTCCCCGCCCCCTTGGTGGTGGTGGAGCACCTCGCCCTCCCCTTCCTCCTCCTCTTCCTCTTACTGCATAGCCATCATCATAGCCGTAGTAGGGATCTTCATAGCCTCCACGATAGTCGTGATAATCATAACCATAGTAATCATCATAGTAATCTTCATAGCCATAGTAATCTGGAGGGTAGCCATATCCACCTCTCCCCCCACCACGACCCCGACCTCTAATTGGAGGTGGCATGCGAGGAGGAGGGTGATAGTAATAATCTTCATACCTAACAATGGAGGGAAGGGAGAAAAGAAAAAACAAATTAGCTTACTTCAAGACTCTTCCTGATTTTGTTTTATTAACCTGATCTCCGCTATCAAGTTATTCTCTGTTCAAAGATGTATTTACTAAAATGCAGACTCACGCAGTGCTTCTGGAGGCCTGTCTAGCAGCTTGGCGTTCTTTCCTTTTCTTGTCTGGTGGCTTGGCTAAGACTATTTCAATTTCTTCCCCTTCTATTTCTTTGCCATTCATTTCATCCATGGCCTATACAGAATTAGAAAAATAAGTTTATTTTAGAAGTAATACTTTAAAACATAACTACATAAGCATAACTGTGCCAGTTAATACACTAATAAGCAATTTAAATATTTTAATTTGCAAAAGATGAATCCAGCCACAAAGTAAAAAAACAACGAAAGTACCTGTTTCCCTCAATCTCACCCTCTTATATGTAAACAATATTGAGCACAAAACTGATGCCCTACTCTTATATTTAAAAAAGTAAACGGGTTACCTATTGCTGTTCCTTAAT